TAATTTTTCTTGGCATTTTGTTCATAAAGAATTTTTTGAAGGAATGGTAACTTCTCAAGGATTGTGAATAAACACATTTTTACATTTAAAAATAATAAATTATTGATAATTACTAGCTTTACTCCATATACATGCAATAATTCTGACTCCTAACTTATAAAATAATCATTTAACTAAATCTGCTGTGAAGACAAAAAGGAGTGAATTAGGAAAGCACAGGATGGAATAAAACTTAAAAATGTTTGTGTTTTAACTGCTAAGAAAAGGATGTTTTCTTGCTTTGTATGTTTATAAAAGACACTAGAAATAACATTTATTTATTTGGCAAATATTGGAGAGTCTGCTGTGTTTAGTAGGGTGTTGAGGACACAGTAGTAAAAAGACATACAAAGTCCCTGCTCTTTTTCTTACGTTCTGGTGAGAGGGAGACAATAACAAGTAAACATTAAATAAGAAAACCATTGATCACAATTAGGAAATATACAAGATGATAGGACGCAGAACAGCTGGGGACAAGTGACTACTTTTGATAGGTCAAGGGAGTCTTCTGAGATTGGAGCTGAGACCTAATTGTTGAGCGGGAACCAGACAGGTAAGAAAGCCTGGTGAAGCACATTGTGTACACCAGCAAGTGCAAAGCTCTGAGGTAGGAGACAGTGAATAAAAAGACCACTGGGACTGAAGCATCGGGAGTGGGGTCGAGGGCTATGAGGTGACACTGGAGGAGTAGGTAGGCGTCATGCAAGGCCTTGTAGGCCATGGTTAAGAGTGAATTTTATTTGATGTATAATAGGAAGCCACTGATGTTTTGTAAGCTGGAGTGTACAGTGATCAGATTTGCATTTTTCAGAAATTCCTCTAGCTGCTGTATGGAGAACAGGTGTAAGAGGCAAGAGTGGACGTGTGGTACTCCCAGCGGGATGTGCTGTGGCTTGGGGTGATGATGGCTGTAGGAATGCAGAGCAGATTAACTTGAGAGATAGACCTACAAGATTTTCTGATGGGTTAGGTATGGGGGCAGAAGAAGGGATGGAATCAGAGATAACTGTAGGTAATGCCTCCAGTGTGGTGCCCTGGCGACCTTGCTCACTGCATATATCCACGTAGCAATACTCAACCCTAGTCTGACCCAAGTCTTGACAGAGAGCCCTGTGACCCTCCCTGGAACTGGCAAGATAGGCAGTCTTAGAGGAGCTGTCACAAGGACATTTGTCATCTGCTTCCCTATCTTGCAGAAGGCTGCCATGAGGCAACTTCTCATCCAACTCCCAGGTTCCAGTGAGGCATGGGATTCCCACCCTGGCCCCACTTAGATAACAGATGTAGGCTAATGAAACTGCTTGGCTGGAGTTTAGAGTTGGCTCCTCAATGACACAGCTACCCTCCACATATATCATCTGTCATCTGGCCCCCCTGGTTCAGTGTCATCCTAGGGACATCCCTAGGGTTCAAAGAGGAGGGACACAGACACTGCTGATCTTGCTTTTGCTCTCTGTGTAAGTAATACACTGTCTGAATCTATTTGAGCTCTTTGTCTCCCTGATGGCCAGATCTGTGGAAGTGTGACAGCCAACCTAGCAGCTGCAGCTACACTTGACAATAACTTCTTGGTTTCTGACTTAATAAATGTAATGGGAGGAACACGTTTGGGTAAGTGGGGGAAATTAAGAGTTCTGTTTTGGAAAGTTAAATTTGAGGTTTTATGAGGGATCTGAATGAAGATGTCAAGTAGGTAATGGGGTATATGCCTGCAGCTCAGAGAAGAGGTCTAGGTACAAGTTTAGGAGTCCTTAGGCAAATGGTATTTTAAGTCATTATACTAGCTGAGATCACCCCGGGAAGCATATAGTCAGAGAAGCCCAACTAAGTGTTGACATTTAGAGGTCAAGGGTAGAGAAATGGCCAAAAGAAGCAGATACGGGAGGAATGCAAGGAACCGAAGAATGTGCTGTCACAGGAGCCAGGAAACGGGCAGAGTCAACCACGTCGCTGCTGCGGGTGCAGCGAGAGAAGACAGGCGCGCCAGCCGGGTTTGGGAACACGAAGCTTGTTGCATGGTATCGTATTTACAAATGAGGGAATGGAAACTGGGGAGTATCTCACAACGGGTGAAGAATAAAGAATGGCCAGTGTAGACAATGTTTTTGAGAAGTTGCTGTCAGAGAGCAGAGAGATGGGGTAGCTGGAGGGGAATTTAGAACTATGTGAGGGTTTTTATTTAGGATGCTAGAACTTCTAAAATGGTATGACCTAGAATTGTACCTGCTCTTTTTTTTCCAGTCGTTCGAGAAATGTTTTTTTAGTAGAGGCCAGAACTTTATTTTACTTTAACTATGTAAAGATGTTCTAATCATAATTCAAGAACACATATCTTAAAAAGATTTTATATCAAGAATATAGTATTTACTTGGTACCTCTGGTTAATTATCTGACAGTAAAGGAGATCACAGAAGAATTCAGTGAAAAACAGATTTCCTGTGTCTGATTCTTGTATCCTCAGGAAATATTAAAGCTGAAAGTGAAATTAAATTAGGAAATTGATATTAAAATAAGTTATCACATGAGTATTTTTATTAATATTGCTGATTTTTTTTCTGAACCCAGACGTAGTAATGTCCTCTGTACTTCAATAATCTTCTATCTGTGACCATTAAATAGAAGGACTGCTTGTGCTCAGTGCTGTTCACAATAACACGTACTGTGTGTAACACCGTAGTGAGAACACTGCACACTGTACCTCAGGTGATTTTCACAGAAACCCCGTGAGGGAGGCACTACTGGAATCCCTGTTTTTCAGGAGAGGAAACTGAAGCTCAGAGTTAGTGACAAATTCACCAGGAAATGGTAGATAAAACCAGGCAGGGTGACTCAGAGCCCACACTCAACACAACACATGCTTCCTTTCTAGAGGAATTAGATCAGTATTGTTTTTGAGGGTTTTTTGAGGTTTGGGAGCTTTTTTGCTTAGCTGTTAGAAAAAGTCTGTCTAAACTAACTTCGGATGATTGGAAATTGTATTAAGAAATCAAGTGATATTATAAAAAGGCACTTTGACCTAAGGTGAGGTTGCACTGTTTTACCTTATCTTGACTGTCTACCCTCAGAAGTTTTCTGTTTTAAAGTGCTACTGCCTTGATTTTGGCTTTTGAGCAGTGATTTCACTGACAGTATTAAGAAAGCTGTTGTGTTCCCGTGCATCTCACGATTTTCTCTCCCGTGAAGATGCTAGTAAGCAGTGCCAAAATGGTTCATCTCTAGGCCCTCAGTGGGAAACCAGCAACAGAGCTGAAATCACTGCTTTCCCATTTTTTTCACCAGTGTTCCTGGCCTAAATTCATTGCTTAAGAGATACAAGGCCAGATAAATATTTTCATGTAGGCTGAATAGTAGAATGATGAGCGATGTACTTGGTAACTACGCATACCAACTAGAAGGCTGGCAGATTCCACCACACTTGATTGTGCTCATCTGTCGTCACCAACTGAAATGGAAGCTCTGATTGTTTCAGTCAGGGTCCAGTTAGTACAATAGTCACCACACCTGTTATTTTAACAGATAATTACTGTAAGGAATTAAACCCCTGTTAGAGAACTGGAAAAGTAGAAAGGGATATGAGATAACATGGAAGCAGCTACCACATAAACACATACACACCATGTTAACAATAGTTATCTCCTGGTAGCGAGATTACGGCCAATTTTTCTACAAGACATATTGAAACAAACACGACCACTCATGTTAGAGCCTCAAGGTAATGCTTCTTCAAGTCAGTCAATGCATTAGATAGTAGAGACAGAATCTTCTAGAATATGGTTATATAATCATATGGTATATGAGATTTCACTGTTGGAGAGCACCACCTCGTCATAAAGATGCAGGTTCTAGAAGAGACTGCCTATGACTAACACTGGCACTGATTAATACACCCCTCTACTTAAAGAGCCCAAGAAAAATCAATTTCCTGGGACAAATGAGTCCTTAAGGGGTGTGCTGAAAGTTTCACAACGTAGCTGCAGTATCTTGTATCAAACACTAATACTTTTGTTTGCCCCCACCACCATCCACTGCGGCCTTTTGTGTGTGTGTGTAAGGAAGCTCAGCCTTGCGCTAACATCCAATGCCAATCCTCCTCTTTTTGCTGAGGAAGACTGGCCCTGGGCTAACATCCGTGCCCATCTTCCCCTACATTATATGGGACGCCGCCACAGCATGGCTTGACAAGCGGTGCGTCGGTGCGCGCCGGGGGTGCGAACCTATGAACCCCGGGCCTCCGAAGCTGAGCGCGCACACTTAACCGCTGCGCCACTGGCCGGCCCCAATTGTGGCCATTTTTTGAGAAAATGCTTTTCCTGTCCACGTGGTCACTGCCTGGAGCAGCCGTTATTTAGTGAGCAGAGGGTAGAAGGTGGGCACTGGACCCAAGCTGGCCCTTCCCTGGAACTGGAGTTGGACGATCAGCTTCTCTTTGGGTGGCTGGTCAATAGCATGTAACACTTGGGAGCGACTGGGCCGTGTGCCCCATGCGGAGTGAGGGACAAACAGAGAATGTAGCCAGGACGCACGGAGGGCAGAGCTGGAGGCGTCTGAGTCCCCAGCACAGCCGCCGCCTGAGGCCTGCTGCACTCCTTCCCTCCAGCAGTCAGAGAACAAAGCAAATGGTTGGAGAATGAGACTTTACTATGTGCGCGGGGGATGCTGTTAAAATTGTGAATTCAAATTTAACAACTTATAGTACATAAAAATCAAATAATTTAAAACTTGGTAAGAAAACTGAAAAATAATTCTAAACTTAACAGAGTGGTACATTAAAATGTTTAAAATATTGGGTTTAGATGCTGAAGACAGATCAAGAGAACTGTATTCTCAGGAATAAGCACTCTATAATTCTATAGAAAATCAAGGTATTATTGCTCAAATAAGTCTTCCCATATTAAAACCACAATGACACACGGACACTACTCCAAAACACATTATGCTGCGTTCCAGTACTCTGGTACCACGAGTACCAACAGGCTACAACACCAGTAACAACTTGCCCATAGTCTTGACCTTGAAAACAAATGGCTATTGTAAAATAATATGACCAAAGAGACAGTTCCTTACAAACAAAATTAAAACAAAACATAGGACTAAAGTCGAGCATAAAAAGAAAATAATATAACTTTACTTTGAGAACACTATTCCTTCATCACAAAGGATACTTCTTGTACATTAAGCCTCACAGTTGTACACTTAAAATAATACTTCATACATCCAGGAATGCAACAGGTGACTAAATCGATGACTAATGCCATTTACAGACTTCAAAATGATAATACCCGATCCCAAATTTGCCACCATAACAGATGACCATAATATACTACACTCAGAAACTGGCACCGATTAATAGTACTGGCACACCACTTAGTACGTGGAGTGTCTGTGGAGTGTCTATAAAGTGTCCACAGAGCTCTGCATCCTTCACGATTCTCTTCTTAGCCGTCTGTGTTCACAATTCATTTTCATCCATTTCTGTAGGAGAAGTGTTTTGGGTGGAACAGTATGAATAAGTGCCATACTCAGGTACGGGCTTCTGTGGTGGCCAGTTGTTTTCTTGCAAGAGTGATCTTGGAGACAAAATAAACTGAGTCTCAAAAAACTCTAATGACTCTCCATCCTCCTTCTCTATCAGGAACTGATACTCGCCGAATCTGACCATGCACTTGTATGGCAGGTCCATTTTATTCAGGTAGCCCAGCTCCCTGTTGTCCACAATCAGATTGGTCTTCTTACTCATATTTTTAATTTCAAAAGAGAGAACTGAGCTATCAAATTTTTTAAACAGCTGCAGAGAAAACTGAACTCGGGAAACCTGTTTGTCCTGAAAGGTATAATGACAGATGTTGGAATTTCGGCCAAATTTCACCACTTCGCTGGAGGGGAGTTTCTCTCGGTTATAAAACCTTATGGATTGGAATACTCCACTTTGCAGCTGGGCGGGATGGTAAACAGTCATCTGGAGACACGTTACTGTCTCTTCTGTGTCTGCATCTTCAAAATTCGACATGGTGCGCACCAGAATCTGACGCCCCTGCGGCGAGCAAACCACACGTTAGTTTACCCCCATACTTCAGGCATTGAGATCTTTGATTCTAATAATTTGATGAAAATCTTCTCATAGGTGATTTATTTGAACTTTAAGAAAACAACACATAGAATACTTTCAATTAACTAGTAGATATGTGAAAACTTACACCAAGCCCCATGAGAACTGGTGTATTACATTTTCCTATCTCTCTATTTTTCATTTCAAGCTTGATGATAAGACCATACATATAATCCAGACACTAACAAGGAATGGTTGTTGATAATAAAGTGATCTGGGGGAGCATAAAGAAACTTTACTTCCTTTCTCACTTAAATAGAGTGACTTGGACCCAGAGAAAATATGACAGCTGTTCTTTAAAAAGAAAATCCAGAATAAAGACTCCCTTTAGTTTGAATGCTCTCAGAAGATATACACACAAAGAGGGCCTACAGTTTATTAACTGAATTATAAGTAGATGTATTATGAACTGTGAAACCTGATTAAATAAAAAAATAGTTATAAGCAAATAATTGCAACATTTGTCCTTTATATCCTCACTTAGATTTCTAGCACGTAAAGTTAAAAATGGTAAATATTTTAAAAGCTTATTTTATTCTATAATTTAAAAATTTAGACATTATACACTTTTTAAAAAAAATAAATCTCCACAAGGTAGTTCCAAATATCATAGTCTGTACTCCTACTGGAACTGTTTATTTTTGTCAATGGTTCCTAATGACCAGACAGACAAACTGTCATTAACCACAAGCAGTGTAGTCTAACTGCTGCTAACCACAGTCCTCCAGAGCTCACCGCCCCGCGGTGCCCTCCGCCTCCACTGCACCACATGCACCTTTAATAATCAGTGGAGGAGTCAGTGTAACAGGATAGGAGAACTAGTTACTAAAATCTTTGAGAGGTTATTTTGACACAGAACTGCCATTTTACAACTAATTTATTCTAAAAGAATTACACGCACATGATTTAAAAATTCAAACAGTAAAAAAGGATTTTTAAAAAAAAAATCTTCCCTCCACCCTAATCCTTAGTGTCCCCATCGAGAGTCAACTACTGTAAAAGTTGCTTTTATCCTTACACAAACTGTCTTTACACAACAAGCATAACTAAGTGTGTGCTCAGACACATACACACATGTTTCTACACAGGGAAAAAATTTTCTTACACAGATAGGAATATTCTGTATTTAGTTCTAGACCTTGCATTTTTCAGCTAATCATACAAATGGGTGATTTTCTGCCACATCTACACATAAATATACCTTATTTTTGAACAGCTGCATAGAATTCCTTTTATCTAGTGTAGTGGTAAATTATACCAATAGATAGAATGACATTGAGTGCCCCCTACATTCCTTAAAGACTGTATTTGGGGTTTGGGGATCAAGAGTCTTAAGTGAAGTTAATTGGTTGTTTTATTGTTTTTGTCTGCCATCTATATTAGATGTGGGTATCAAAACTACGCTGGTTAAAAAAAGAACAATGCTTTCTTTCTCTTTTTACGCTTGCTGCTATTTACTTTTTTTGGGGGGGGGGGGGAAGATCAGCCCTGAGCTAACATCCATGCTAATCCTCCTCTTTTTGCTGAGGAAGACCAGTTCTGAGCTAAAATCCATTGCCAATCCTCCTCCTTTTTTTTGCCCCAAAGCCCCAGTAGATAGTCGTATGTCATAGTTGCACATCCCTCTAGTTGCTGTATGTGGGACGCGGCCTCAGCATGGCTGGACAAGCGGTGTGTCGGTGCGCGCCCGGGATCCGAACCCGGGCCGCCAGTAGTGGAGCGCGCGCACTTAACTGCTAAGCCACCGGGCCGGCTCTGCTGCTATTTACTTTTAAGATACAATCTTTCCCTCCATTTTGCAGTTATGCTGCTAAAAATCAAACTCCCAATTTATTCAATTATTCAACAAATGACATAGCTGAGCAAAATTTCTTTTTTATTGATTTGGAAATCTATCTTTAGTTTTAAATTTACTTTCATAATAGATTCTTTTTGGACATTATCACATCATATTGCATCACCTAAGCAGGCAACAGATGCCCAGCTATAAGTAGAAAAAATGAGAGGAATCCTCAAAATCTTGGGCAAAGGGTAATAAAAACTACTATGAAACTGAAGGCAGCAAGAAAATACACAATGGGTAGAATTGGTTAATCCATCCTACACTGTGATTTGAAGATCCTTTAATCATGATGCTGAAGTCTCACTATTCAAGAAGCAGACAGAATAAAAGACTAATTATAACAAACCATGAGATGATGCAATTAGTGGCTGACAAGAAAAGAATTAGCTGTTGACAAGTGAAGAGCCTAAAAACGAAGAGCAGGAATCTGTCAGTGGTCTCAGCCTTGTTTAGGACATACTGCCGTCATTCCAGTTCATTCTCGGACTTTGGACACTCACAGTTCCACGATGTATTCTGGATATAGTCTTTTGGTAAAATCCAATTTTGTTTTTGTGTCCTTGTGTAACCTACTAGTTCAGAATTCAGTCTTTTGAGCAAATCTGCCACCAAGAAAAGTTTGCCCCATACAGGCTCTTCTGCCTAGCACCCAGGGCAAAGATATATTATCCACTGCAAGGGAAAAAATTGGCATTCCAGTTTACAAAGCAGTGGCTCTAAGTGTCTTGGTGTGAATCAATTCTCAGGGTTTGATGAACTTCTGGGTTCACCACCATGACCCTCCAAGAAACACGGAGGTAGACTGTATTACTGTCAAATACTGGCTGCCCCTCCCCACCAGGCCTGTCCCTACTGGTTCTGCTCCTTCAGAAAGATGACACTTCCCACTCCGTTGACAGCCATGTCAATGAAACACAACGGAAGTGACAAGGAAGCTTATTTCCAAGCAGAAGCCTTAAAAGCCACTGTGTAGTTCCACCTCTCTTCTTTCCTTCTGCCACATCAGCAGTCCCCAAAAGGACCAGTTCTGCCTCGGTCCCAATGCCATAAAGGACATGTAATATGGGCAAGAAATCCACCCCTCTTCCTGTAGGTCATGAGTTGCTAAGCCATAAGGTGGCCTGCCATGTGCAGTCGCCTATCTTATGAAAGTACAACAGACTGCAAACCTGACAGCGATAACGGCTACCACTCACCACCCACCATTAGTGCACCAGGTGCAGTGATGCCCTTTACACATACTGTCCTACCTAATCTTCAACACAACCCTACGAATCACCCTCACAGATGAGGGAGCTGAGTCTCAGAGGACTTAGCTAAGTAGCCCAGATCACAAAGCCAGTGTCAAAGGCAAGATTCAAATAGAACAGAACTGCACCCTCTCTTACCCCCTACAACACTGCTCCCTGTTACCAGGTACTTCACAAACCAGAGCAGCTAACCTGTAGAGAAGGGGGCCACGGATGTGTGTTAGAACAAGCAAGATACCAACCTAGTTTCCAGTCTTGGGGAGGGAAATACACTATTCCTGCTGCCTCGTAAGAGGAGGGGGCTCTGAAGCATCAGCTTACTGGGAGCATCAGTTATCCTGAAGCCCGGGTGTAGGATATTAGCATAGACCTAGTACGCACTAGTAATTGCCGTGGGTTGTTTGGGGAGCTCCAAAGTTGAATAAATCATGGTCTCTGACCTCAAGAAACTTAGAAATTAATCTATTCATTAATTATTTCCAGGCTGCCAGGTCCCGCTACAAAGTGGCCTGAATCTCTGACATGTCTGAGGCGTCAGCAAAAAAACAGAAAAGACGGAAACTAACAAAAAACTAAAATAATAAACTAAAATTGGTAGATCTTTTTTTTAAAAAAAAAATCACTAGTGTGCAAATGCTCAAAAGCAGATTTTCAAATCCGTTTGTTATGGAAGAAACAGAAGAACAATGAGCTTACATAGTGGTAACAGCGGTGGCCTCTGGAGAGGGAAATGTCGGGGTGGAGAGGGGACTGCACACCGCACCTTTGGGATTTTATACCATGTGCACTTCATATCTATTAGAACATTTAACAAATAGTTTCTCTACAAAATCACAAACCATCTGATTTTTATGGAACTCCATTTAAATGGAGTTGGAAATCAGCCAAGTATGGTTAAAGCGGTAAACTGATGTCTGACAGACACTTAAGAGAGTCTCAGAGCTGGAACAGAAGGGCTGGACTCGGGTCGGCTTCCGACTCCTCTCAAAGGAAAGGAGGGTGGATATGCGTTGAGGTGCTATGTGCAAAAACATGCTCTCCACCCCTGCTCACATTCCCACTCCCCACCCCTGCCAAACACACGTTCGTGCACACACAGACACATAGACACACACACTCCAGCTACCCCTCCCAAGGCCTGCAGAGCCAGTGAAGAGACACACTATCCTCATCCTGCAGAAGGCTGTTTGGCCTTCAGCTGTGATGAACAAAAAGATAGACATATTTTTGCTAAAAGGAGCCAGGTGTCCCAGCAGCTTAACAGAAAGCTTGGCTCCCCTGGGTGGTCAAGTGTGCCAACGGGTTTCTCTTGCTTTAAGAGTTTGGTTTTTTAAGACAAGCTCCCTTGTAATAATGGTTTGTTCTGGGTGATCTGTTAAGGAAAGTATCCCTCTAAAACTTGTACTTTCATCCCTCCTCCGCCCCCCACCCTATCGATATTCCCAAGAGAGAGTATGTCTTTGCCTTGTGGCAAGTAGAAGTTTCCTTTTCTGTCAAAGGAAGCTTCTGTCCTTTTTGCCCAACACTGAGCTAAGAAGGGAAGAAAAACTTGGAAGCACAGCAAAAGACACAGATAACCTCCTGCCTGACCCCTCACCGCCGCCCCGCGTGACTTGGAAGACATCTGTGAACCGTGCTGTTCAGCAGAATCGATACTTACCAAACAAGAGATCTTGCAGCGGGAGTCGTGAAAACTCCAACAGCAAGAGGAAAACCTTCGGACAGCTCGGTTGTTCTGCGAGGCGGTGCCTGGTTGGTCTGCGCCCAATCAAACACGCGCAGCACAGCTTCTCCGCGGCCGCGAACGTCCGCCGTGAGGTTCGGTGTGGATTCGGGCTTCCAGAGGGTTTGGGAAATCCCTCCTTTCAATCTGAAAGCTGGGGAAAGTCCCAGAAAACAACGGATTACTATATTTTCCTAATAAACCAGACTGAAGCGAGGCGGGCAGGTCCAGAAGCGCCCTCTGCAGAGAACCCGGCGCTGCAGGGAACCGGGCCCGCAGACACGTGTCGGGCGGCGGGAGCGAGGGGCGGGGAGGGTGGCGAGGGGGCGCTGTGAGCCACACTGCGTAAGTGGGACTCTTGTGTTCCGATTAGGAAAAAAACTTGCAAAGCACAGAAAAGTACAAAGAAAACACACCCCGTCTCCCATATTTCCTTTCAGTGCTTCCCCCGCCGTTTATACACATTCCTGTATTTTGTGAAGCTGGGATCATGCCCTATGTTACTCTATCATCGTCGGGGCGCCTGGGCGATGGCCCCGCCGGCAGCAGCAGCGGGCGGTGACTTTCCCGAGTCCCCGGGAGACTCCTGGACGAAGCGTCCCCGTTGGGCGATACACAGAAAAGACAGTCCCCACTGCACCCCCAGACCCCGCCCGCAGGTACCTTGGGCCCCGAGTC